AGCGCGCTCCGCCCATTGTGGGCGGGCCTCCGACGTCATGTATGCTGGGAACACCTTAGACATTGCTCCCCTACACCAATTTGTTTTCTGCTCTGTAGGCTTTCTCCCAACCGAGTTATGAAATTTTTCATAAAGCACTGCTTTTTTGGAGAACGCCCCGCCCACCGGGGGTGGGTCTCCCTAATTCGATGTGACTTACCAATGCACACCTTTACCCACTTTTTGGCCCAGTTTCGAGGCTGTTTTGTCACTGAAATTGAAATCTTGGTCTTCAGTACAGTTCATTTCGACGCACGCCACGCCCACTGTGGGCGGGGCTCCGCTTAGCTGATGTGTGTTTTGTACTTCGTGAGACCTTGCCCACCCATCCCACACTTGACCCGGTCCCTCCAGGCGGATCCCGAGGAGCTAGGGAATTTCGTGACAGACATACAGAACGACAGACGACAGACGACAGACGAAGCGCTTTATAGTAAGTAGGATAGTAGGATGTTCATTGTTGCTATGAGAGTGACATTCGCTTGCTTCAAGTACAATTCCGCGGTAGGTGACATTTGCCTTTCATTAAAGGAATCTTCCACGGACCATGGACCAGTGGGCGGGACCGGAAGTGGTTTTGCGACGAAATGCATGGTAGGTACGGATCCACGTTCATGGGAAGGTTTGAAGTGAATCCTGTTCACGTTCGTGCGTTCGACACGTGGATCCGTACCTACCATGCATTTCGTCACAAAAACTTCCGGTCCCGCCCACTGGTCCATGGTCCGTGGAAGATTCCTTTAATTGAATCTTCAAAGCTCACGCGAGCATTCCCAATAATTAAGATTTCAGCTCGCTCCACAGTTGAAATTTCTTTGTCGATGAAAATGGTGCACTTTCCCTGGCTCTTGGCAGCTCTTCACGTTTTTGTCTCTGCTCTACTGCTCTAGTTCGATCAAGTCGTGACGCATGTGCGGCCAATGAGAACAGCGCGCGGGATGTTATGTGACCGCGTGGCGCAGCGCGCCATCCCATTTCATCTGTGGGCTCGTGTAAACGCGGCAGTGGCAGATCTCAATTCTATTCTGGAATTACTTTGAGAAGAGTTACAAACACTTCCCTGAAGTTTGTTTGTTCCATCAAGCTACTATGCGTTTTTAACGACACAATGTCTTGGTCCTCATAATTTTGGCCCACCCTGTATATTGTATTCTCAATAATTTCTCGTTCGAGCCCATAAAATGCATCAACTCTGTGATGGACTTTTCTTGAACTCTTCGCCAAACAAACACTTCTTCTCTCCGACGAACTCTTCGATTCCTTTACATTGCAAGACGTTCAGGGTCCCCATGAATTTTCGTTAACCCTTATCAAGAAGCTATAGGGAAGCTCAGCATCGCAAACCCTGAACTTAGGGTTGCTAACATGACTCGTAAAATATGTCGAAGATACGTACGAAGAAGCTAGTCAATCCAGATCGCTCAATCCGTCGTTTTATCGTTGAATATGCTATT